CACTGGGAAGTGCGACACCTGCAGTCTGAAAGCAGCTGAGTTGCGTTGAAATACCCTGGTTTCCCAACCTTGATCAAGCACTGTCCACAACAGCAGCATCACGATCCGAAAAAAACTTATTAAACACTATACATAGTCCCCACCAGATCTCCAGCCAACACCACAAAAGAAATATTATATTTATATATATATACATACACACACGTATATTAATATATATCATTCTATATAAAAAGGGGGAACAAGCAGGTATCCACGAAGGCAGCAAATGAGCCATCAAACATTGCTAAACATTCCACCAAAAGATCTGCCAAAAGACTGCACGCATGGTGAGCAAAACGAGCCCGGCAGCTGCGGTTCGATGCCTGGCAGTGCCGCCCAAAGTGGCAGCACGTGTGTCCCCGCACGTCCCCACAGATCTCCACGGATCTCATACCGGTGTCATACAGGCGAAGGCATGAAAGCACCATCTTCAACAACACAAATCAATATCGAAGTTCTTTTTCAGTTGGACCAGACCAGTTGGAGCATATCAAGCTTGGTCAAGTCCAATGGCCCAGGGCCCCAGGGCCCGTACTTTCCAGAAAGGAAGCTTGTGCAGCTGCAAAGGCGGCAATCACAGCAACGATGCGCATGGCGACAGGAGAAGCTTGAGGCGGCAGAACAGGAATGACCGTCAAAGACTTGCTAAAACGCTGCGGAATCAAGGCATCATGCATGAAGAAGAGATCAGTTATATTGCATAATAAGATATGCAAAACAAATCATAACAATAACAGTATAAGAATACATCATATATAAATTCATATTATAACTTATAACATTATATATTATTATATATATACTTTATATATATATATTGTATAGTGTTACAATCTTGTATACCGTCAAAACACACACACACATCGTACGTTTCAAACATTCTTCTTTCATCTCTTGCGGACTCTTGGAGCATCAGAGGCTTGGATTCTTGTGGTGCAAACAAGTCAACAATCCAACATAATCCAACAAACATGCTACTGCTTCTCTTGAGTGATTTCAGAGAACATAGAGAACCAGCCTCGGAGATGAGCATAGCGAAACGTCTTTGTGCCTGGCTCCTGTGCTCTTTCTCACCTCGAAACTCCGATCTCGGATGATCTCGGATGGAAGTGCGTGGTGCTACAGCACAGAAGTCACTGAAGTGAAGGCAATTTATGAAAACATGATATGATATCGTTCAACATGATAACACAATATATGTATATACATATATTATTATATATATATATATATAATATTTTGTATATGATATCAGAATTGAATAGAATTGACATGAATAGGCGATGGTGCTGGAGAAACTTCACTCTATTCGGCTCCAAACGTTCCTCTGCTCGCAAGCGTTCAATTTTAACTGCCTGAAATCCAGGATTTCAAAGGGCTGGGCTTTGCAACAGGCGCGGAGCTCCGAGCCAACAAGATCCAACAAGAGAATGCTACTTTAGAGTAATCGTCCCACACATAAAAAACATTAAAAAACAACTTGAAACAATAACAATGATAACAATGGCAAATTCTCCTGTGACTGCGTGTCCTGATGCGTCCTGTGCATCCTTTAAGTTCAGCACATTCTCAGCGCGGGTCTCGATCATACACTGCTGCCATGCTCGAAGAATAACCTCGCAAAGTTGGACTGGCTAAGGGCACGGCCGAACACTTTGAAGAACCCCTCTTGACATTTTGGCTTGATGATGTCGGCTCATGATGTGCTCCAACAGAACCTTTTAAAACGTCGATAGTCTCCGATAGTCCCGCCATTCACACCCTGCCTTCATGGTGTACGGGTCCGTCTTGTGGGGATCTGCTGTCAGGGCCAAGGTCTCGGCGACACGGAACGACACGGAATGAGCAAATGACCAGCGTCCCAGCACAACGCAAGTGAGACTTAAAGACTTCTTAAAGTTTTAGGAAGAAGATTGAAAATACAGTAATTGTGAAAGGATGTGAAAATAATGATATTAATGATGACGATTTGAATTGGGGATATCTTTGGGGGGAAGGCAAGGAGACCCGAAAAATGATCTGCTGAGGTCTGCTCCACGGAGGCTATACTTCTCTTCTTCTCTTCCTTCCAGCTGGCGGTGCAGAAAGCTGCCCTAATGCCTTACCAAGAAGTCTCTTCAAGCAGGGAGGAAGTTGAAAAGCCAACGCCTTTTCATTTACAGTAATTCTCATTTTAATATATTTGAGTTCTCATTTTACATAGCTTTTCCATGTCAGAATTTGGTTGGGGTCAAGGATGGATCAAAGTCTTGGATCAATTTCTTGGGCAGATATTGGCAGCAAGTGAAGCTGGAAAGAATTCTGGAATTTGCTCACATGACTCATGGTGACTGATGTGACTTTGGGTGGTGCAGGGTGGCTCGCATGGCAAAGGACATGGTTCAACTGGTGGCTCCATGTGCTTCCTCCCTCTCTCCCTGGACTGGCAAAACACTGTCCTTGGCTAGGCGCATGTGCTCTCTACGGATCTCCTCAGACTTCCTTTCCTGCGCACCCCCCGGGTCAGTCATGTCATGTCGCGATAAGCTGAGAGCAGCTATATAATATAGCAAATTCTCTGAAATGGTCATCATTGACATGGAGCCGCAACTTTGTAGGACAAAGGTGGCTGAAGTCGGCTGAAATTCAGGTACAGTAACAGTTCGAGCCAGGTCCGCCAAACAACACGCGATCAGTGCTTATAAATAAAATAGCGCTTCGTGTCCTCTTTTCGCGCATCCAGCAACTTCCGCCAAGCAAAAAAGATAGCCTCAAGAATGAATTGGGACAAGCACGGCTCTTCACAAAAATGATCAAACATGTGAGCATGAAAAAAGTGAAAATGATGCAGGCACAATCAAGGAAATTACAGCACGACTCTGAAACCAAACCCAACCACTCCACTCACACTCAAACCCTCTGCTCTTCTTCAACCTAGCCGACATTTTCTCCTTTCGTGTGGAAGCGACCAACGGAATCTGACGAGGAACGTAGCCCGGCCGCAAAAAAGTCACACTAGCCAATTTTTTATAATGTAATGCAACTTGAGGTTGCCTGAACACCACCCAAAACTTTGTAATCTCATCTGGTATCACTGATACCCGGTATCACCTTTGCTTCTGTCTCTGCTTCAAAAAATAAAACAAAAGACAAAAGGAGCTGGGATCTGTCGTCCAATCCTGTGATTTGGACCCCTGTTAATCCCCTGTAAACTAAACAGCGTAGCCGCTGTAGCGTCTCAGTGAGGCAGCCCGAGTCTGAGAGCTTTGGCTGGCATTGCAGTCATTGGGAAGTCGCCAGCCCAAGTTATTAGGGTCTTCTTGACCTGCAACGAGTTGTTGGTGTCTGCTGACCCATTTTGCGGCGCTCATGCCATAAAAATGATCAACTCTGTGCCAAACCAGTGCATGCCGCACCTGCAAAGTATACACAATTATACACGTGTGTATATATGCATACAGTATGCATACCTAGGACACAGGAATTTGCATTTGCATGTTAAGTGCAGCTACGAGCACATGCAAATCATGCTTGACAAGCAAATGGATCAATGACAACAAGTCTGCAGGTATTTGTGGGACGGGCATGCCCTGAAAATCCCTGAAAGATTTAGGATAACTTGTGCAAGGTTGCGAGCAATCATGTATTGTGGGGTCAAACAGCAGCCGGGATTCGTCGCCTGCTCTTCCTTGATTTTTTTCCTCAAAAGTATGCACAACATTTTTTGCTAGTTCCGTCTATTTCAGTCGATTTCCTACAGTACGTGTGCTCTGGTTGGACCTGCTAATGAGTCTAATATATGTGAAATCTCGGCGAGCTTCCAAAATTATAAAGCCAAGGATCTTTTCTTTCTCAAAGCGCGCTTGTCTTGTCACCCGCCTCCAGGATTCAAGGGCCTGGATAAAGCTCCCCCAGTGAATCACGCAGAATCCAACCAGGAGACTGAAGATTTTAATAAGAAAAACCATGCATGGCATGGGTTGGTCACAGGATCCATTGAATTTGAGCCTACTATAGATACATATAGATACATATAGATACATATATATATATATAGATACATATATATATATATAAATATATATATATATATATATACTATAGTGTGCTTGTTGTATCAGCATAACAGGCACCACGGAGCTGAAACATGCTGAAAAACTTGAACCGTGAGGTCCTCTGACGGACTCTGACCCTGAGGTCCTGGCAACTCGTGCCTCTTGGGCAACTGTGGCATGGGCCAAGCCTACACCACTCTGAGTGACAGTGAATGACGGTGACATATCAATTCATATCAAAGGAATTCAAAAGAAATTCAAAACGATTAGTGACTCATATTTTTGACAGGAACGAGTCGATCTGTGAACGAATGCCTGCTGCACGCGCTCAAAGCGTCTCTGCTAGACTGCTAGACATGTCAATGCCTTCTGAATGATCCCTTGTGATCCCTATGCCACTGTACCAAAATGCAACAATTGCATAAACGTATCTGCCAAACCCTGGTCACATCTTGCAGCTCCGTTCACAAGCCTCCTACGATGCCGTTGATCTTTGACCTCTATATGTGCCATCAAGCTGCTTGTGTCCACAACATCTTGACATAGCATGACCGTGGCTTTTGGGCAAATGATGGCAAATGTTTCCTTTCTTAGCATTGCAAAAGCAGTTGGCAAATGTCAGCAGTCAAAGCGTCCAAGTGAGCACTGATGAGGACTGTATCATACTGTATCCATCTGTATATATATCTATCTGTGTCCCATAGGAGTCGCTCTGAACTTTGAAGCTTGCGCTGAGTCTAAGACTGTAGTGCTGCTCGAGACCTGGAGAGTGATGAGAGTGATCACATTTCTCGAAAACAGAACATGTTGAACATGTTACAAGCAAGTTTTCGCATTCTATCTATATCTCTATGATATCTTCCGTTGACATCCAAAATGATAGCGGGTGAGCAACCTGTCCAATCATTGAAATGAATCCGGGTCTTCTTTTCGAGCTGCCGCCAGTCAATCAGTGTACCCTCTTCCCTTCTACAACTTCAGCAGCATAAGGGTGGAAACTTGTGCATTGATGACTTCGCCCGCGCCAGCACTGTCCGTTCCTTGGATGATCGCGCCTCTTCGAGGGGTATGCAAAGCAACCATTTATATTAGCTCGTACTTGCGAACAAAGGAGGTGTAATGAGGTGTATAATACAATTGGCAGGCAATTGTTTTGCTAGGGAGTCCAGGGGGTTTGCCCGAAATGAAACAACATGTTGACTTGCAATGGCAGGAAAAATTCATCAACCATCATACATAGCCTCTCACACACACAAACAAAAACACATCTTCAAATCTTTGTGAGGTTTTGCCCATCGTCTGCATGCCCCGACTTGATCTACCTAATTATCTTCTCAGCCAGGAGGCCGCATGAACTGCCAAACGCTGCAGTATTCATCATCACAGCAGTTCTTGTTGCACGCTTTGGCAGAGGTTCCATTGGGGTCCTTGACTATGGAAGGCATATAAAGGCATCATGCACATGCTGAGATTTCTGCTAATTACTTCGAGTCAAACCTGATTCCCTCATGCATCGCAATACATCCGTAATCTACACCGATGTCAAAGAGAAGCGCATTGAAGTTGGAAAGCAAATGGGAAAGCAAGACTAGTCTAGCAAGTACAAAATGTAGTTCCCGCAGAACATCGTCATCTCCTTCCAAATCACAATGGCCGTCTAGTCTAGCATTCTTTCCTTGATTAGAATAGCACTACGTATATATATATATATGTATATAACTATATATATAACTATATATATATAAAACTATATATATAACTATATATATATAACTATATATATATAACTATATAAATATATATATAACTATATATATATATATATGTGCTATATAAAATAATGTATATATAATGTACAACATTTGAAAGCCTGTCACGCTATCAGTGACACATGCCATTCTTGAAAGCATTTCGCCAGGGCACGTGGCTCAGGCCAAAGCAAACCACATCGTTCAGCTCCTCAGTGGATGTGCAGTTTGGTGCTGGAAAAAGGTCTCGTCGCAAACCGCAGTAGGCATCTTTCTGTGGGATGTCGCTGTTCCTCAGGCTGCTGTTTGAGTCAACCAGAAGGACGCCTGAAAACCAAGGGAACAACACGTCTTTGCTTCCATCCCAGAATCCCGTTCTTCTCTTCTTTGTCCACTCTTTCTCCCTCTCATCCCCTCTCTTTTTCTCACTCTGTTTCTCACCCTGCACAAGGGCTCATGAATGCTGACAGCTATGCCCACTAATGCTCAGCAGGTTTAGACTTTCAACTCAAGAGCTGCTCGGCAAACATACATCGCAGCCAAGTGCTGATGAGCATCACGACTCCAAAGGCATATCCGAACAGCGTATTTCCGATCAGATGTGCCAACACACCACCCAGCAGAGAGAAATCCTTGACAAGGATGCTTGCTAGCTGCTATGCATATCTGCTGTATGTGGCTATGCTGGTCACAATCTTTGCAATTTTTTGACAATTGAACCACTGTCTCAGTGCCTTTTGCAGCCTCACCACACTTTCAGAGCATTTGTGCCCGAGTGTTCACCCCTGCACTGTTGGCATCCCATCCTCCATCTGCGAATTGATTCCCTTCATGGACCCGGGCACCAAAAATTCACTCTTCGGGCACACGTGGGCCCACCTCAGCTTCTGCTTACCAACTACGAACCCCCAAGAATCACCCAGGAAGCAAACCAAGCGAATGTCAACTCCTCAAAACTCATGCGACACATGGAAGAGCAAGTTGCAAATTGTCATGGTCACACTTCTGGGCTCCGCATGAGTATTTTGCATCTCCCCGTCCACATTTTCACAGCACCCAAACCTGGCCTGTCACTTGGATGTAACTCTTTTGGACCATTTGCGAGTTGACCAATGCAGCTCATGACGTTCTCAAAACAGTAGGTCACAATATCCTCATTTCCAAGCAGCATTGCAATAGACTCCCTGGGCCAGCATATGATATGTGACTCAAGTGCTCCAAACACCCTTAATACAGGAGAATACAGGGAGTACAACTGCACAATCTGTACAGGTCCCAGCGTGTTGGTGCATGTGGGTGGGCAGTTGACAAGATTGACAAGTGCAGAATGAAAGATGCCAAGCATCCATCAGTTGCAAAGGCTCAACAAAAGGCATCCATGTAATGACATCGTTGTGCACTGCCACCCGCAGGAGTTTGCCGCACAAATTGCGCGACTCCCACCAGTCACCTCAGCGGAGTGACCACCACTGGGGCCGGTGGGGCTACCAGGTTAGGGCTCCCATGGCCTCCATTCAAGTCCAGCCACTCAGTGCTTTGTCCGCCAAGCGCGGGGCTCCAAAAGCAATGACAGCATCGGGTGTACGGGACCAACCCTCTGCCTGGTTCGTATGAATGCTAAACAACAAATAACAAAAGCGAGCGAAATAGGATGACAGCATGAGGAATGAGCTCATGGCTCTTGACAGCTGTCGCCCAATTGCATTGCTTTGAATGCAGCTGACAAATACCGCCTTTGGAAGCGGTGCAAAATGACTTGTGTCTTAGGAAGAACTTCTGTCTTGGAAAAGACTTTGGTTCTTCAACAAGCCTGGAGTAAAACAACATGAGGAGCGAGCCTCTGCCAAAGTGGCTGCTAGAATGGCCAAGGACGCGCCCAAGCTGTGGCCAGTAAATACCAACTTCCAATAGCTTGGAATGCCAAAGAGGCCCTGACACGTGCATCCCAAACATCACAAACATGAACACAATCTTGCGATGTATTGCGACGTCTTGCACATCTAAATCGCATCTAAATCACATTCAAAACGTCAAAACAACTCTCATACACTCCAAACACAAACCCTCTGCTGCCTTGCCTGAGTCCCTTCGATGTACCCTTCGACCCACTTGCGTACATGTGGCAACACTCGTTGCAGCTCGAGGAAAAAGCCTTCATGAACATTTGCCACTGAGGAGGCCTGAGATCTGCTCAAGTTCAAAATCATGGTGAGACCAGCCTGCTGCTGAAAAGCAAACTTATCAAACTTCTAGCTGCTAGCTTCTGAAAAAAGGGCAGACACATATCAAAACATCGACAACAAATCACAACATGTACAACTGAGTTTGGAAATATGCAGGCATGTAAAAAAAACTCAATGTCCCACCATGTTGCACCGTGTCGCCAGGTTACAGTTTTGTGCGGCCCTGGAGCTCCAAGCTCCACTGGTAGCATGGCAATGTCTGAGTCAATCTCCCAGTTTTGCGCAGAAGTAGCCTAGGACATGTGGGTTTTAAATTCTTAGTCCAACTGTAGCTAGCTTGTCTGTGGGGTCAGTGATGCAATCCTCATGGAGCATCGAGAAAGAAGTCGCCAATCAAGTTGATTGAGGAATACTCAAGACCTGATGATCCTGATGCACCAGCCGACTGTGACTGTCAAAAAAAGCGATACTTTTTAAGGCTCGTTGGGGCACCCGGCCTGAGTACCGCGAAAAGAAACCACAGCAACCTCTGCATGGGCAGACTTGTAGACACGGGCATGGACATTCTCTGCATCATCGTTGAGATAGTACTCCTGAGCAAATCACTGAAAGGTCCGTGAATGAAAGTGATCACTGCTTGTCTCCGATGTGCGCTGTCCCAGTAAAAAAATATAACTGGATACTCTATATATAGCTATATAAATCTAGCATCATATAATCAGACTATATCATACTCATACTCCTATCTCATGCTAGTTTCCAGTGATAATATATATATATATAATTATATATAATAATATGTAATAATGGTAACAGAGATTAGTGTAATCCCCCAATCAGCAAATACAGCTCTTCAGCTCCTCCCAATCTGAGATGCGAGGACATAGATCCACCACACGTTCACGGAAGCCATGCTTGGCTCGGCCCAACATCTTTTTGGAGTTGATCCCAGCATGCCTGGCGACGGGTGCCCAACAGAACAAAGAATGATACTACAAGAACCTGCAGAGAACAAGAATATACACACTGTACACACACACACAGAGCTCAATGTATACATATATACATATATATATATGGTCACCGACAGAATTATGGAAAAAAATAAAACGTTCAACTTAGACAGGCGGCGCCTGCGTCCGATTTTTCCATAATTGGATTTTTCCCCATAAGGGTTCAAAATATCCCGGAAGTGATCCGAACCTTTTTTTTTCTCCATAATTCTTGGAGGTGGCCATTATTTCCATAATTGATTTTTCCTGTAAAATCAGGGGGCTAGGGCAGATTGACCGGTTTTTCCATAATTATTTTTTCCATAATTAATGTTTGGGGCTCCACCTGTTGGACATGTCATGGATCCACAATTCAAACCCCTTTTTTTGGGGGTTATGGAAATATGTATGCAAATGCAAGTATGTAGTATCAACCCAATTGGTGGCTTGGCAAAAGGATACATCCTGCATATGTATGTACGTACAACAATGAGTTTTGGTGGTGCAATTGTATATCAATGGAAGACTTAGGGGCATATACCAGATCTTTAGACACATATTTTCTATTGCATTCAAATTGCGAACATCACATAATATTATGTATATCAATGGAAGACTTAGGGGCATATACCAGATCTTTAAACACATATTTTCTATAATTCAATATTCCCCCTTAAAATGCATTCAAATTGCGAATCGATGGACATACAGTCACCGACAGAATTATGGAAAAAAAATAATTATGGAAAAAATAATTATGGAAAAAAAAGGTTCGTAACTTTTCTATCATAGACAGGCGGCGCCTGTAAATTGAAACGTTTTTTTTTCCCATAATTCTGTCGGTGACTGTATATATATATTCTATTTGCATAGAATTTTACACACTGCATATCTGTATGTCAATCCTGGCAAAGATGCAGTATTAAACTGTTTTTGCTTTGGTCCGCTGAAGCCATCATATCATATCTGAATCTCTATGTGCTGTCTGATAAGCGCCCACAATTGAAATGCATCTCCATACATGTTTCCAACATGCATCCAGACCTGGTGATGTCCAATCGCCGCTCAGTCCCCTTCGGCTGCAACGCCTGTCGTGGTGTCGCTTCCATTTTGGCAAGCCAATTTACCCCAATGTCTTCAATTCATGTAAATTCAACATATTATACACTGCAGTTACACCACGCTCAAAATAAGCTCCTGCAGAAACTGTTCTTTGTCTTATAAGGTGTAAGGGCTCACGTATGTACGCTGGCAGTGACATTGCAGGCTGTGTCTTGCTGTCAGTTCAAAATTTGATTCACCTTGTTGCAGCCGTCTCCTGGCCGTCTCCTGTTTCGGCCTTGGGGCTGCTGACCGCCAGTGAGGCGGCGTAGCCTAATGCTGCGAAGCCTCCAGAAGGTGAGGACCTGCAACAACATGAAATTCGATTTGAAATCTTGAGATATCTGTGAACCAAATTCAAATACTCTACGGCATGTGTATGTACATATATATATATATAATGTATATATATATATATTTGTCTAGATGTATATACTGACTTCCAGCATTTAATTTTGCACAGCCAAACATCTGAAACGCCAAGGCACATGTTCTCACTGCTGCGCCAGCACGAAGGGCACCAATGTCTGCCACATTCCGGAAATTGATATGGCCAAAGCATTGGCACAGCATCGTAGCTTCTGCAGCAGTCACCTGAATAGCGATCGACCACAGAAAAACTTGAACCTTCCAACTCAATGCAAATGGATCAAAGATTTGGATCCAGTTGGGAAAGATCTTGACTGCAAGGATGCTGCATCACAAGTACAAAGTTCACTGATCTCAAGAGGATTCTCGCAGCGTGGAGTCCAGTCATATCCCGGCATGAAAGAGTGCATCCTCACTAAGATGTCCTTACCCCCTCATTCAGTGAATCCCTGTGAACCGTTGCCAACATCTGGAGACCTCATATTCAATTCATTCTTGGATTGGACTTCTGGGACCACGCCTTCAGCTTTTTGACCAACCAAAGCTGCAGCTGCCATCCGCTGAAAAACGGTCATTGGACATCGGAAGTTGAAGGGGTCGCTTTGGGCCCCAGAGATCCTGAGTACTTTGAGACTCAACGATCGACTCATTGACACCATCTGAACAAGAACCTTTGCATACCTTTGCCGTGCACTATGCCGTGCTGGTCCTGTGTTTTCTGCAAAATTTGGATTATTTTCTAGCAGGCTGCTGCAGGGTAAAATGGGTAAATAATGTACATGAAAATAGCCAAAACAGTCTAGCCGTCTAGCCATGTCTAGCTGGATGCCACAAGAAAAGCCTTCAGGCCAGAAACAACATTGTTTTTTTGCAAATTGAATTTAATTCAATCAATAATACACACAGGAAAATGCTTCGCCCATGCAGCCTGGGCATGCTCCAAGGATCAATCTCCACGCATCCAACAGCTTAAATTTTTGCGACAAAGAGTTGCTGCTCCCAGTGGCCACCACTTTGGATGGAACTGCCTTAGAGAGACCGACCTCTATGGCATGGGCTTGGCAACGGAATGCAGCTTAAAAGTTGAGCACCAAAAAACTTACCTGGCGCCAAGAGCGCATGACAGTCCGAAGAGGTCAAACATGTTAAACAAATACACGCATTGCATCGCTTTGCTGTATATAAAGTCTGTGTTGAAGGCATTTGAAGGCGAAGAGGCATACCGCCCGACCACAGAAAGCAGCGTAAGCAGCGCGAGAGAAAGAGCGAGCACAGTGCGGCAGTAGCTTGTAGGAGCTAATCTTGGCGGCCTGGATCCGGAGGCGTTGGGATGCCAGCTCTTGGCGAAGAATGCGAAGAGCTAGTTTGCCCAGAAAAAACTTATGCAATCCCGACCATTGCCTGAAACTTCTCTGCCAACACATTGCTTTCGTGTTGGGCATATGGGAGCATGGTGTAGAAACGTGGCATGATGCAATTTACTTAAGCATATATATATACATAATATATATATATATATATACACATAATATATATATAATATACATATAATGCTGTGCAAATGTGCGCATGTATGCGTAATCTAAGTGGGGGGCTAGTACCAACGGTAGAGGCTTAGCAAGGTGCGTCAGCACCCCACGGAGTTCTACGCATCTTCCTATTGTCTGTCGCACCTGGCAGGCAAAAATGCCTCCGTGTCGCTGGCATCGCTGCCGGACGCCATGGACAAAAGACATCAACTGCACTGCTAAAAGAAGACCTACATCTTTCATCATCTTTCAACTCAGCTGCTGAAGTCTTGAACCATGCAAATGCAATTGGCTACAAACTACAAACCTTGAAACATATTATTGAAACATCTCCGCAGCAGGTGCTGCTCTGCAGGCGTGTACAAAACGATGCTACGTGCCCTCTCATGGTTGCTTTGACATGCACTTGTTCCATGGATTTCCATGGTGTCGTGCAAGTAGTGATAGCAACAATCACAGCTGCCAGCTACTTATCATTTCTGTACTGCCAGGGCTACTAGTTTCAGCCATTCCTGTCTATCTTGGTATCATACGGCGGTATCATGCTGTGTCCCTGCAATCCTGCATCATGTGTTTCAGGCAAAGCAAAAAATAACCTGGCCACAGTGCATCCAGCAAGGCGCTTCAATGCAATGTCAAATTGTCCAATTTGTTCAATTCAATCATTCACTCGTTGAAAGTTTTGGTTTACCATTCAAGGCCTGAGCAATGACATCCTCGCACATTTGCAAGCATTTCACATCCTTTCACATCCTTTCACCCTCACAGCTCCGGGCTTGCCAAGCCGCTTTCTGAATTCAGCTTCTTGCTTTCGATGTTGAACGTCACCTCCAAATAATCTTGGGATTTTACCATTGCATCAGGGCACTCTCATTCCTCTACACTCCAGAAAGTCGGTGACAGAACAGGCCAAGATTGACGTCAGCCCATACAAGCTCTCCCAAAAAATCAACGAAGTGCATCAAAGTGCTCTGCTGTTTCTTAGCCAAAGGGTTCAGTTCCTTCCTAAAAGCACTCTGCACAGCAAGTGCACCTGTGCGCGCCTGAGAACTCCAAGCCTGAAAGGCTTCGCCTCAAGGTTTTGCAAAAGCCGGAAAAACATTGAAAACATGTGAATGTGACTAGTATGCATGTGTATAATAAACAGTACGCATTCACATGAATCCATCAATATTTGACTATATTTGACTGCTTCCCTATTTGCCTCTTTATCCATCCAGCCCCGATTGTACATCTAATGTGCTACATATCAATCTCAAACAGTAAAATGCGAAGATTTGCTGATGATTGCCATGCCAAGCCTGGCCAATGACTGCTATACACTTTGTGGCACATAAGGCAACTGTCAATCTGCAAGAACGCACCGTCTTGGCTGGACTATTTCGTGCTACAATGGCTTTATTGCCAAACATATTTCACCATATTTCATCATATGGGTATGGGTCAAAATTAGGTACCCCAAAATTATGGATGGTTAATACTAAACTAGACTAACATCTGTGGTTCCCTAGGTCTTCCATTTTGACCCACATCCATATTTCCCTTTCTTGATACCAGAAGCAATGCTCCTCAAAATCTCGTTGCCGCTGCAAATTCCGAGGCTACCAGCGTTGCAGTTCTAAAGGTATTGCCTGAGAAATGACGCATTGACTACCCTCTGGTAATTTAACATAGCTATTGAAAATGACCATTTATAGTGGATTTTCCCATTAAAAATGGTGATTTTCCATAGTTATGTTAAATTACCAGAGGGTACCTCTGCTTTGATACCAAGGTTGTTCGGTTCAAACACCCAGAAAGGGAGTAGTGTAAGCGTCTCTATGTCTTTGGACAGTCTCATCCATACGAGCACAGCTTGCCACAACATGATCAACATGAAATAGAAAAGGTGTGGTAGTTGTTTGAGTATCATACAACAATCCAAAACGGAGCAGCGTCCAACCCTCGTATGTCCAAGAAACAATGGAGAATTAATGAGCACAGCACATTCGTCATATCTTGATAATTTGGAATAGGTCAAATGTCTGTGCCTTCTCAAACTTTAGGACCAATTTTAACTGGTTGGCACTCTTGTGGATCTTTGTCCAGAGTGATTTGCCTGAGGCCCCTACCGATGGTGCCCACTTGCCCAAGGCCCGCTGCAAGGTCTTTTCTGCCCTTGGCTGAGGCGGCTTCTGCTGTCATGGCAAGCATAGCCAGTATGAGTATGGACAGCACGACCACAAAATCAAAGGGACATTGATAATCATTGATATATTACTCGGCATCACTTGGCGTCTCTGGGCATCTCTCAGCATCATGCCTTGCTGCCAGGCTCTGGGCAGAGTTGGTGCCTTTCAAAAGCTCCAGGATCCTATTGTCTTTGTCAACGACCTGCATGGGGCAGTATCAGTAATGGAGTCAAAACCGGGTTCGGTGCTACAATGGTTTGGACCAGCTTTCAGGCCTGGCGCTGTAGCTCTTGAATCTGAGTCAGGTACTCGTCCTCCTGCAAGATTTATGCCATTTATGCCCTCGGAGACTTCTGGAAACATCCGGCTCAGCTCACAGTCCATTGGCTCAATGCGTTCATAAAATGAAACTGCCTGAGACTAGATGCGACTTGACAAGGCAAAGATCATCAAGATTCTGATCCACTGCACTTTTACGTTCACTCAAAAGCAGAAATACTGCAAATGCAATTACAAATGAATTTAAAGGATAGACATGAAATATATAATATGCATATACTATCCCAATATGCAATATATATATTTATGCTATGTCATTGTGTCATGCGTAAGTATTGTGAAGCTTCAGCCCCTCCTGTATGTCAATTCCAATATCAGGGGGCATCAGCGTTGCCGCGTGTTGCAGCGCCTGGTGGGTAGCTAGACTTTTGCACATCCCAAGCATTGACAAATGGGTATGGATCAATACCTATGAAAATACCATTTTTAGTGGGATGAACATCCATAAATCCCAGCTATTTTGATGTGAACTACGGGGTACTATTGGTTTTGACACACTGCCAAATGAACACATGAATTTGAAATATGTTGAACCTGTCTGATAACATCTGATAACCTTTAGACTCAACAATCACTTAGGCCATGGAATAGCATGGGCTGAGCTTATCGAGCATGCTAAGTCTGCGAGGAAATTTAGAGAGCTCCACTACCTTGCTCCAGTGAAGCGATGGAACATGGAACATATTCATTGGCACAAATGAATACCCAATATGAGAAACTGGAAATTCTGCTCCATGCATGACATGTTACCTGCACCAGGTTTGACGCATTTGACACGGGGTCTGGGGCCCCAGCACTGGCACTGGCCTAAGCACTGGGAGTATGGGAGCGTGGCCAGTCTTGAATCAAAGGGTGTCGAAATGACCGAAGCTGAGAGAAAGGCCCTGAGAGCGTTCCGCAGCTGCGCATTCTTTGCGTCCTGAGTGCGGTATACCGTGACTGTTCGCAAGTCGCTGTGATAGACTATGACTAAGAGTTCAGACCTTAAAATTTGAGTATCGAATGTTCCTGCAGCAGCATGGTTCTCTGAACAATTTGTAGCACTGCCCCGGCGGCCGCACTGTGCACACTGATCCTAAGATTCCTAAGACCATTGCCTTACAGCAATCGCTTCCTTAAGAGTCTTGTATCCTGTTCAAGCCCAGGATCTGCATCATGGTGCTCATACTTCAAGTGTTGAAGTTCAACTTCTCGCTCCTTGAGCCTGACTTGGATGGCTTGTGTTATGCATGCTTATTTCATATTAAGCTTTAGTAAGATGAATTGATGATTTCGATACAATTATATAGCGGATATATTTGTATTATATTTGCTTTTTTCTTATCTGACACCACGCTTCTGGAATTTAGGACGCATGAGATCCAAAGATCCAAAGATCCAAAACTTTTCGGTTTAGTCGTGCACGTGTACTTCCTACTTCACTGCATTTCCATATGTAGTATAATCACGGATATCTGCTTGGGCAGTTTGGGCCAACACAAAAAAAAACATCACAAAACATTGGTTCGCATTGGACCTCTCAACGAACAGTGACTCCACTTTGGCCAGGTCGGCATCTTTGTCCGAAAGCCTCAATGATTTGGCACTACAAACAGGATCAAACAAACAACCATTCGTAGACACAAAATGACACAAACATACACAAACATCTGTACAACTGCATAGACCCAGGGAATTGAGCAAGAAACAATCCATCACCCTCTGCTTGACATTTTGCAAGAACTCAGCATTGCACCCGGCTCGGTCACTGACCCGTTTCAACCTCGAAAGTTCGGTTTCAAGTAGAATTGGCGAACTGGCAAGACAACTCAGTACAAGCACCTTGAAGGTCTTTTTCACACATTGGGAATTGTATAATGTCAACCCCGGATTAATAAACCATGGTTTATTAATTAGGGGGGTACCCCTCCAATAGTCATAATATGATACTTAAATGGTACCCTCCCAATTAAACAATCTAGGGGTTTATTAATCCAGGGTTGACATTAAATGACAATCTCAAACTCTGGCGAACTACTTGGACCATCTTGGACCGCTGCAAGCGCTGCAATTCACGTCTTGCTGGATGTGATGCGTCCTGACATCATTTTGATATATTTTGATAGCACGTGCAAAAGGTATGGCGAGGCTGTTTCAAAGAATCCTGTCAAAATCAACAGGGGCTACCACCTTGCGTCTAAGAGTGTGCAACCACACAATGACATCAAACCCGGCTAACAGCATCCACAAGACCATACTGGCATCTGCAACCTTTTCCAGTCACAGCACATTGGCTCGGAAATAAACTTGTGCTCGGCAACTGAGCAATAACAACAGGACAATTCTGCCAGGCAATAAATGGAGAGCTTGAACATACTTACAGCTACTTACAATCAATCAAACACAGTCCGACAGTCCACATCTTTTCCGAGCGTCAGCTAAAACTAGAAAAATAAACATCTCGGGGGGTTCTTTGAATCACTGGATGACAGCATGTTCGTCCTGCGGTGTGTTGTTTTAATTATGAGTTTCAGCGGTCGTCCTGCAACCCTTACCATCCCTTTTGCATCGAATCACACTGGCCGTACATTTCGAGCCTCAATGTCCTGAGATGCTCCAATGTCAGGCCTGATCGCATGATGCTCAGTTCGAACATGCCTATGGGCCTATGGGCGATGAGTGAATATGAACGGAACCCTGCAACACTTAATGGCTATAGCCTATATA